ATTTGATATTTGCCAAATAAAATCACTACATGACTGCCAGATCATGGAGAAGCAAGCCTCAGGCAAGTGGACACATTAGCGTAAATACCACAACCAGTGTTAATCTGACCTAGAGTCCTAGCATTTGTTACTTTCAGGTATAATTCTTGGAGAGTAGAATTTTACTATTATAAATGAGAAACACCAAATGAAGTATTAAAATCAGTCTCTAGTTACAAAGTCTGATTTACAGACAGTTATTTTTTGCCTTGTAAGCAGGGCTCGTGACTGATTTGATCAGCGTCTGTCATGACCGAAAAAGCGAAAAAGGAAGGGATAGTCCCCACAATCACCCTCCAAGTCCCCCCTGTCCCCCCACTAATATTTTCCCCAAATCTGCAATATTAATCTCAGTAACTAGATGGGGAAAAAATGACAGGTCAGAGTCGTAGCATGGTAGCTGAGGCAGAGTTGAGTGAGCCGTCAGAGTGCCAAAATATAAAATTGGATTATTACCAGGATTTGAGAGGGCTACACACATTCAAAGAATGGGATCAACCAGAGACTGAGTGATACACGGAGAAGTGGTTACCCATTGAGCTACTAACCACAAGGTCAGCAGCTCAAAACCATGAGCATTTTAAAGGGAGAATTACAATCTCAACCTCACAGAGGCACTTCTACCCTCTCCTGTAGGGTCACTGTTCATCAGAATAGAGTCAATGCCACTGCGTTGGGTTTTTGTTGTTGTTGTTGGTTTTTGTTTTTGTGAATGAGGCCATGACAGTATTGGGAAAAGCAAGTTTGAAGTTTTGCTTTCAAAGAATTGAAACAAGCCCTGAATCAAAAGTGCACTGTTGTTGAGTCAATTCTATTTCTTTTTCCCCCCATATATGCTATTTAAAAAATCATTTTATTGGGGGTTCATACAACTCTTATACTTCCATTGTCTCAAGCAAATTTGTACATATGTAGCCACTATCATGTTCAAAGAATATTTCTTTCTACTCAAGTCCTTGGTATCAGCTCCTCATTACAGAAGGGTTGTGGGGAGAAGACAGGCTAGTCAGGGTGCAGTAGCAACGATGAAACATACAGCTTTCTTCTGGTTCTTTAATGCTTCCTGCCCCCCCAATATCAAGACCCTAATTCTGCCTTACAAATCTGGCTAGACAAGGGCATGTACCTGCGTACAGCTAAGAGCTGGAGACACAGGGAATATAGGACAGATAAACTCCTTGGGACGAATATTGAGAGTAACCATACCAGGATGGTAAGGGGAAGGTGGGGGGAGAAAGGAGGAACCAATCATAAAGACCTACCTATAACCCCCTCCAAGGGGATGGACAACAGAAAAGGGCTTAAAGGGAGATATCGGACCGTGAAAGAGATGAAAAAATAATAATAATTTATACATTGCCAAGGGTTCAATTCTGATTCTTAGTGATCCTGCTAGTCTTGATAGCAGGGTTCCAGAAGATTTCTGCAATGGTAACACTTTACAGAAACAGACTTTTTCAGCCTTCTCTCATGGAA